TCAGGAAGAGTAAATTGCTACCTCCTCCAAGATCCCTATTTTGGGTTTATATATATATATAACTCACACACACACACACATATATATATATATATGTATGAGTTGTTTACAATTCCTTACTCACTGTTACATTATAATTATTCATTTACAGTATCTCACTCATTATCTTTTCATGCCTTGAAGGCAAGACCTGGCCTTATTCTATCTAGCAGAGTGCTGGCACATCGTAGGCACTCAATAAATGTTTGAGTTAATTTAATTACTCCAAAAATAGCATTTGCTAGGGTGTATGATGTGGTTCCTATGTGCCAGGCATAAGGCTTAACATTTTACATAGATTAATTAATACTCTTAACACAAAGAAGTTGGTACTACCAGTTATTCCTATTTTATAAATGAGTAACCTGAGCCTTAAATATATTAAGTAACTTTTCCCAACTTACAATTGCTTGAAAAATAGTGAATTGGTTAAATATTGGCGTCCACGTATTTCCAGCTAACACTTTCTACAAATATATCTAGCTGGGAAATGGCTTTTCTGTTCTCTGGGAAGGAGACAAAAATTATGTCTATGTGCACGCGTGTGTGCATTTCACATGTCGAGCCTACACATCTGCCATCTTCCTTGCTTTTTGTTTCTGTTTCTGCCTTTTCCTTTTGTTTCAGAACTTGAACTGATTCCTGATCCCTTAAAGTCCCTCTGAGATTTTTTTGTCATCCATAAATACCTCCTCCAAGATTCTCTTTTTTCCTTGACAGAGCATATTCCTAAAGATCTTCCTTTCCTATTATCATCTCTACTTAAGTCTTCTTCCTTCCTCTGGAGACTTTTTGAACACTGTGACATCATCAAAATCATGCTCCCATCCCCGCCATCACTCGTTGAATTGATAAATTTTTAGTATTACAGGTTTAAAACTATAGTGACAGCACAGTCCCTGTACAGTACTTACAGGGAGCACCTAGTCTAGGTGGTGAGGAGACAAGGCTGAGAGAGAGAGAACTGAGTGTGAAATGCTCTGGTGGTGTGAAATAGAAAGGAAACAAGAAGAGAACAATAGCATCTCCAAACCCTCGGGTCTGGTTTGCCTCTCGTCCAGGCGATTAGCTGGACCACAGGCAGTTTCCCATAGTAGCTCAGGTCCAGCTCTAATATCAGTCCTTGGTCCGAGAGAGCGCACCTTCCTCCTGGGCCATCTCAAGGGCACTCCAGGGCTTCAGTTTTGAGTGGTAGCCTCAGGCTCACCCTACTTTAAACCTGTACCTCTTTAGCTATTCTGGTGAAGGAGGGTAAAGTAGAGGCTCTCCGTCTTAGGGCATTTAACAAGCTCTTACATTAACTGCAACGGAGGTGGTCTGAATTGCTGGAAAGAAGGAAGCCTTGGGCCAATCACTAAGTAGGTAAGCATACCTTGCTGCCCACCTGAGTTTCTCCTACTATGACAAAAGTGACAGTATTGACACTAGATAACTATTTTGGAAAGTAGTTTCATATACATTCCTTTTCGTTGTCCAGGGTTATGCAAAGAAATGTCAGTAACAGCATTGTTTAGTTTCTATTCTGGAGGGAGAAGTCTTCTATCTCAGTCTACCTCTGTCATGTTTTCATATTACCCATGCGTTTGCCTCCGCCTCCCTTTGTCTTTCCCTGCAGTATTGCCAAGGTCATGGCTGGTCATGTACTACAACAAAATCTTATTCAGTATAATTATGTAAATATTTTCAGAAAGTCAATTAATATTTTCTAATTAATAATATGCATTTTTGTTCTCAAATAAATAAGACACCAAGTCTGTGGGAAACATTTCAATTCAATTATGGACAATTTGTATTTAGAGTATAGTTTAGCTAACTAGTCTTTTTTTCCCTTTTCCAGATTCTGCTTTGTCTTTCAGCAATGGCCAATTATATTTATGCCCGATTTAGCACTCCGCTTCTATGAGCATTCATCTGAAATATCCTAACATCTTGTGTTTGTATAATTCCTTTTGAAGAAATACATATGAAAATATTTTTAGTTTGAAGTTGTGTTTTTGTTTTAAAAATTAGCCTTTAACACTTTACTCCCTTAGCATTGTCTTATTTGGGAGGCCACCATTTTGTTGCAAAAATATAAGAAATCTTGTTTAAAATCTGTTTATTCCTAGAATGAACGTGATAGTGATGTATATGAATATATTCCCAAAAGTAAGATAAACACATACATCAGTAAATTCTACATCTGCATATGTTGCAGCTAGTACCTTTGAATAATTCCCAATCATATATTTCCATCTTTATTTTGATTTTTCTGCAAGACTTGATTTCTGCAGTTTGAATTGCTTTATAAGTCTTCCTATCCTCCAGATACCTGTAGCTTGTAATTGTGTTTTCTTAGCGTTTTATCATGAATTCATTTTCACTTGTGGTTGGAGTTTCAGGATCAGAACTTACCTTCTGGCGCCAGGAAAGCCGTAGCTCGGATCCTCTTTCTGGTAGTTGGGACCCTCCCACGTTGTTTGCTTTGAACGGAACACTCTCTTTAGAACGCTTTCTTTAAGAAACTTGGAGATGATCTTTTCTCTCTGAACATTACTGAATACTTTGCCTTCTGGAAGCCAGCTGATCTTGTCACATCCACCATGGCAGAGGGGAAGGGGAAGGTGTTCGGGAGACACAACAGCCCTCTTTGGAACAAAAAAGGAATTGCCATTTACCAAAAAGTCATGAATAAGAGATCAGCCTAACTAGAAGAACAACCCAGGGTCCTGCAGCTGCTATGCTGTGGGATCAATTTAGTTAATAACACTCTGCTGGCACCTGAGCGCGCTGCTGGCCCTTCATTAGCAACTAACCATCGCAGTAAGGAAAGGAGCGCTGGCCTGAGAGGATTCTTACTAATCTTTTTTTGTGAGAAAAAATAATATATTACAAACACGGTTTTGAAAAGGTAAATACACTGGTCATTGAAGAATAGAATTGGAAATAAGAGGAATCCGAAACAAGATACAAAACAGAAGGATTTGTTGCATCCAAGAACGTCAGTAGCGAAGCTGAGACCTGGTTGGCTGTGATCTTGAAGATCACACAACCAGTTAGCAGCAGGGGGCTGCCAGCCTCCGTTCTCAGCTGTTAACTCCGGTCCCGAACAGTGTTCTTTCCACCATACCATAACTAGACAAAATGAATAAGACTGATTCCTTGAAGAAGTCTTACCCATTGCAAAAAGCATTTATCCATCAGATAGTTTTTTAAAAATAAAATGTAATAATTATGGCCCACTTCTGATGTCAGCCAAGGTCAATAAACTTCAGATAGCTAGAACCACCCCATCAGTTGCTATGTAAAGCCATGAGTAAGAACATATGGGTCACTTTACGTGGACTGTAAAGAATCATATTTTAATAGATCACTTTCTTGGCCAGTTGAATGGTTTAAAACGTGGTTTGTTCTTTCCTATTTATATAAATGAGGATTTAGAGTAGTACACTCAAATTTGCTTGGAAGAAAGAAGCCTCTGGCTATCAGAATACTCTACCCCCTTCGCTCCCACCAATTCCCCTCTCTTTCCAAAAGCACCCGTGAAATTATGAGAATCACGTGTATTCAAGTGGTTCTGGTTAGTTCTATAATGTATTTTATTTTTTATTATTTTTTTTAAAGTCAGGAGCACTTTATTTTTATTATTATTATTTTTTTTTGTGAGGAAGATTCGCCCTGAGCTAACATCCATGCTAATCCTCCTCTTTTTGCTGAGGAAGACTGGCTTTGAGCTAACATCTATTGCCAATCCTCCTCCTTTTTTTTTTTT